TCTCTCTCTCTCTCTCTCTCTCTCTCTCTCTCTCTCTCTCTCTCTCTCTCTCTCTCTCTCTCTGTGTCTCTCTGTCTCTCTGTCTCTCTGTCTCTGTCTCTGTCTCTCTCTCTCTCCCCTCTGCTTCTCATACCACCAACAGGCAGAGAGAGACTCTTTCCTGTCACAGGCACCCGCTAACTGATATGCTTCCTCTCTGCAGTTCGCTCGGTTGTCCTCTTCGTCCGTTATGCCATTCGCTGCCTCTCTGTCTTGCCGTGCCATTTCTCTGGAGGTCGCTAGATAGTCCGGCCGTCCCGCCTCTAAGTTTACAAGCAAGGCGGGCCGGTATGCGTACACGCAACCCCCTTCTTCTATGGTTCCCCGAAACGTGCGCACCACCACCATTAACAACGCCCTTACCACATTATCGTCGCTGTCATCGTCCTCTTCATTACTACCGTCATCATGAAGACTCTTGAAGCCATGATCGCAGATCCTTTCACCTTGCCGTTCCGGACGTTAGCATTATCCCTTTCAACATATAATTATTATTACGAGAGAAGCTCTTCTTCGCATCATCAACATGGACACCGACATCCCCAGCACCACTAGCAACATCCATATCGTTATCGTTATCGTTATCGTCACCGTCATCGTCCTCCTTGTCACCTTATTGATCACGATGTCTCCACTACCTACTACTAGGCTACTCCTTTACCTTGCAGTTCCTGACGTCAGCATTTAATTATCCTCTTCAGCATGTATTTACGTATTTCATTAGCAGTTAACATCGACCGTCCACCATGAGCAAGAAGCCAGATCGGAGGTCAGCGTTCCAATGGCACGAACCATCAGCGACCCGACCATTCCATAAAGTCCCTGAGAGACTTGATAAATAAAAACAGAAAAGTAACAATCTTTAAGAAACAAGGTCCAAGAATTCAACCGAAATGAAATGACTGACTGAATACAAGCTGGCAGCTAATATCCAAAATGCATCAAAGATGCATTTTCTACGCGATCCCAAAACCACCGACGCCCCCACTCTAGCTCACTATAAGCCCACCAGCTTCCCAGCAGGTCAATGCATGTTCTATATAATCAGTAAAGCACCCTCCAGCGCTGAAAAGCGATCGTTCAGACTGGCCTCGGCACCTTACCTCGCCGATCGTTCCCCTGCCTGCCTATGGCCACGAGTTTGATGGACCAACTTGCATAACGATTTGGAAGAGCTCCAGCCAAAGTCCAGCGAAGGCACGCAGGCAAACTATATAAGTGCTTGCGACGATGACGATCAGCTTCGAATCTGATACCGCGCTATGTCGTTGTTGTTGTTGTTGTAGTGTCTAGAAAGACCACCACCGTTCGAACACCGAGAGAAAGAAAACTTCGTCGATAGTCACAAAGCGAGCTGTCCGAGAGAAAGAAAACTTCGTCGATAGTCACAAAGCGAGCTGTGAAACTCACCGATAGAGAAAGGAAGATCCAGTCGGCCGGCAGGACTCCTAGCTTACTCATCACCTCGCTGATTCAAAAAAAATTAAGGGTCTCATAATCATAATCTCTACCCCTGGCAAACCCGTAATGAAACAAATGGAGAACTTGATGACCATAAAGTGAGCTGAGAAGGCTCACTTTTGAGGGGCCGCTGGACAACGCAACTGTGGAAGAGGGGCGTATAAACCCAAATTTCGCAGTCGCTCTGAAAAGAAAAGAAAAGAAGAAAAGAAAAGAAAAGAAGAAAAGAAAGAAAAGAAAAGAAAAGAAAAGAAAAGAAAAGAAAAGAAAAAGAAAACAAAACAAAAGAGCAGAAAAGAAAGAGAAGGCAGACGTAGTCACCTACCCTAGTTAAGACTTTTAACTTCAGTACTAGACTAGAGTAATATGAGATAAACCCTCTGACCCGATAAATTCAAAACTTGATCAGACTCATCGTCGCCCGCAAATCTATAATAAGAGGGCAGACAAAGAATATTTTTCATCGTGAGGGAACAAAAAAGTGAATTCGTACAAATAAATAAGTAAATAATTAATAATAAGTAAAAACATGAATAAATGAGGAAACAAGTAAATGAATAATTCAGACGTGAATGGAGTTGAAAAAATATCCCACCACCAGTCGCAACAGAAGCGAACGAACCCACACAGGAAATCAAATCCGGACAAAACGGTTGACATAAAAAAAAGACACAAGGCAAATGACGCGCCCGAGGGTGAGAAAACCGAGCACAAACACAAGACAGAAGGCACAGAGAGAGAGAGAGACAGAGAAAGAGAGAGAGAGAGACAGAGAAAGAGAGAGAGAGAGAGAGAGAGAGAGAGAGAGAGAGAGAGAGAGGACGGCACTCTAAAATCGCTTGCTTTGTCTTTCAGAGCTCGTCCAACGTCTAGAAGCCGACAGTTTGCGAAGCAGCCTCCTCCACCTCGATCTGTGATGATGCGCCTTCGGTTCTGAGAAGGAGAAATCGACATCGGATTCGTCGCCCACCACTTCCACGTCCCGAACATCTGCAGGAGGTGGGGCGGAGAGTACTTCAACGATTCGCGGAGGCGGCGTCTCCGGCTGGGCCAGTACCGCCACCGACCCTTCCGGCGCCGGCGTTATAGCGGCGCCGGCCTGTACAGGTGTTCCTGCCGTCCTCGAACTCGTCACCTCTGCCACATCTGGGTTCAATTCTCGCCCTGTGTAGCTGTCTTGCAGCGGGTTGTTGTACTCGATACTTGGACTAGGAGCGGCCACAGCGGCTGCGGACCCATTCCCTGCGGAAGAAGAGGAAACAAGCGCAGCTGCTGCAGTCGGAGCAGCCAGTGCCGCATTAAGCTCCTCCCGACTATCCATGTTGTCGGCGGCGAACTCCGCTCCCTCTCCATCTCCGCTGTGTTCCTGCCTCTCAAGCTCTTCGTCCTCCTCCGACTCGATCTCCTCGACTCGCAATGGCCGCGCGTTTTCGAGAGAGAACCTCGGGTCTGGAATGACTCCGTGTTTCGGGACCACCACTGTCAAATCCCCGTTTTCACAGTGCGCTGTAATTGCGTCCGGATCCGCATCGCTGGGCAATCGAAACCGCCGGATGAACGTGCCGCCGATCGATCTCGACGACGCGGGCAAGCCATCCTCTTCTGCGATCGACTGCATCTGCTTCGTCCCACTAATGACCAGAAAGTGATCATTGCCAGGGCCAACATCGTCCACCTGCACCTTTAGGTCTTCCTGCTCAAACCCGGGGGCGTCAGCTTGGAACACGTAGGTCTTCGCGGTCTCCTTCACATCCACTGTAGATAACGCCGATCGAGCCTGCCCCTCCCATAAGCTGTTCATAACGTCCAGCAGAGGTAACCCCACAATCCGTGTCCGTGGGCCTGAGGGCCTAGTACAGGGTGGGAAAGCGTTGACTGAGCTTCCTGCTGCGGATGGCCAACCCATGTCGTACCCAGGATTGTCACCGAAACCACTGCCCGCCTCCGAAACGGCTCTATCGCGCCGGAAGGGATCGACGAAGAAACGATTCAAAAAACTCCTCGGTGTCTGCGCTGGATATTGTTCCATATCCCCAGAGCTAAATGGACAGATAACAGAAATACCCACTTCAAATTACCTGTCTGTCTAATATCTGCTCTACTGTATTCTACCTCACTTTTCAACCTCTACACGATCTATTGGCTTAACCTGTCTCTGCGCCCGTCTGCTCCGCCTTTCCTCCCCCTCCCCCCTTCTTCCTCCGTCTCTTTCTTCAGCGGTGTCAACGCCCGACGTCGAAAAATCCCTGTCTTTCTGTGTCGGATTTCTGGTGACGAAGCACCGACACGTCGAGGCAGAGGGAGGAACCAAACGCGCGAACGACGCGCAAAGGGGACAGCCACACCGGAAGCGATATACCACACACGACCACTTGCCTGTCGGTGGATTACGGCATGCAGTCGCCGCTGCTGCTGCTGCTGTTTGCTGCTTAAAATACGCTTGAATACTGATTACGGCTGCAACACGCCAGCAGCACACCATGAAGGAAAACCACTGCTGCTGCTGCTGCTGCTGCCAAATCGTGCACCAAGGGGCTTCGATCGATCTCCTAGAGCGACTGGGAGGAGAAAAGAAGAAGGAAAAAAAAAAACGCCGTAAAATCTCCAAGCAAGCTCCCAGAGGAAAGAAATTGAACTCAGTGAACGAATCGATCGCAGACGGGCTCGTGCCGCAGAGAAAGACGACGGAGAAACCTATCAGGGGAACTACCGTAAAGCGGCGCAGAGCGGTGCTCCTCGATCTAGAAGTAGTATTCGCTAGTTCTGTGCTGGAAAAAGAAAAGAAAAAAAAAAGGGAAACAGAAAACTGAGGACTACTTCTACCTGAGAAGAGACAAAGGAACACAGCAATTGTGTCTACGGAGGACAGGACTCTCCTTCACCAGTTCCTAACGCGATGAATGGTGAATGGGATGGACGAGGATTATACAGACAATTCAGTAGAACGATCGATAGCCCAAGCAAAAAGAGATGAAATTGACTCAACGCATGGATGACCGGACTGAGTTGCACGCCACCTGAAGGACTCTGCCCACATTACCCCTTAGTTCGTCGATCTTGAAAGAGAGAGTCGACGGGTCTCCCAGCACCGTGATCATCGGGTCACTTCCTTCCGCCATGCCGCAATCTTTTACTTTGCCTGTTGTCATCATCCGCTCCACCATAGCCAGCTTCATGCCACCACCTTCCTGCTGCCGACCCCACCCGTCTCGCCGAACCACAACAAATCGCCGCGCTCGACCCGCCGCCTGCTTTCCGGCCGCCGCACAGCGTGTGCGATCGACTGTGAGACTTGCACGAACAGCGCTCGCCACAGTTCTGAGCACCTAAGGAGTTCAGGACGCCACAAACCCAAGAACCGGAACCGTCCGTATCAGGAGAGACATGATACTCTGCTTTTTTTTTTGCCTTTTTTTTTGCCTTTTTTTTTTTTTTTTTTTTCGAAATGAGAATGGAGTTCCCTCTAGAACACGATACTCTGCTGCTGGTCGCGACGATACTCCGAAGTCTCGAGCGACCGAAAGGCTAGTACCTGTAGCATACCTGAATCTCGCCGAAAAAGGCGCGCGAAAAAGGCGCCTGAGTGTCTTCGACAGCTCGCACGCGCGGGAAAGGAGAGGCGCCAGAGCGGACATACGACAGCTCTCTGAGCCCTATGTGTGGGCATCGCCACACCACACTCGAAATGTGCGAAATGAGAATGAAGTTCCCGCTAGAACATGGCCAGATGCACCCGCCACATTTTTGTCGTTTTCACATCTAGAGAGTGGTGTGGCGACGCCTTGTGTACTTGTCTGAGAAAGGCAGGCTACACTTGTCCCACTCGCATTACCGGTTCCGGAGACTTGTCCCTCCAGGCAGGACCATTCCCATGTGCGACACTTTCTAAAACGAGGAAGGCCAAAAAGAATGTGGGTGGCACATTCCCATGAACAATGAGGGTTGGATTCAATTCAAAACCTGCATGAGGACGTGTTTGTGGAATGGTACAGAAAATCACGATTGACTTGTCTTTCTGCATCTTCGCGTGAAACACATCCAGATTCAGGCCCGTAATCCAAACCTCTTTGCTAGTGGGACTGCATCCCCCACCGCTGGGCTATCTGGAGTGTATCACACCACGGAAATAGCGAGATTCCTCACATCTGATCTGTCCCCCTTCTTGTAGAGGAGGGTGATAATCCCCTCAGCAGTATGGGGGCCGAGGGGGCTTTCTTTGAGGATATGGTTGAAGACTCTAAGGATGTCCGGAGCGAGGAGTGTCCAGAACCTGAGGTAAAATTCCACCGGTAAACCATCAGGGCCTGGACACTTACCCTTTGCCATGCTGTTCAGTGCTTTGGTAATTTCCGAGAGCGTGATTGGGGCTTCAAGAGATGAGGCCTGATGTTCAGATAATATCTTAGAGGTAGATTTCCATATGAAGTTTTCCAGGTGGGGCGGTATTATGGGGGAGTTAGGAGGCTTCTCAGTAGTAAGTAAATGTTGGTAAAACAGTCTAACATATTCGCATATGGTGCTTGAGTCCTTAGCTGCTGGGAGGGACAGGTCCTCCGGGTGGTTGAGAATGGTAGTCATATTACTAGTGCTGGGAGCGGGGTTAATGGATGAGGTATTGGCGTTCAGTTTATCTGAGTATAGTGTTCTATCTATTAGCTTACGCTGCTCCCACAGATTGTGATATTGGATTTGCAGGTTTTGCCATTCTTGTCTTAATCTAGCTATTCTCCTTTGTGTGACCATCTGAGCGAAGGGTGAATCAACGTTTTTCTTTTCTAGGTTCTCAATTTTTCTTTTCAAGAGGATTTCCTTGTATTTACGGTTAACCGCCTTTATTCGTGAAATGAGGTTAAGTTGGTTAGAGATGAGCGTCAGCCCTTTGTCCAACCAAACTCCCTCATCTGGGAACAAGTTTGTGTTATTTCTCCATTCTTCCCATGATTTCCAGACCCAGTCCACAATTCCTGGGTCTTCCGAAACGTGATGACTGAGTCTGAAGAGTCCCTTCCCTCTAGTAATATTGAGACCCAAATTCATAGAAATTGAGACAGGCTTGTGGTCTGAGAGGGGGTCTGTGGTTATTTCTGCTTTATTTACCATTTGTAGAGCGGGCTCATTAGTGAGGAACAGGTCTAATCTGCGCATGGTGTGTAGTTTGTTTTCTGAAATCGTGTTGGACGTCCATGTGTAGGAGAACTCCTCAGGGTGCAACAGCCGGAAGAGGTCGAGGCATAGATCCATCATCAGATCATTGAGTGCTGCAGATTCCCTTGGATGGGAAAGCGGAGTGGTAGAGTCTATCTCCGGGTTGGGGACTGTGTTCCAGTCCCCTCCCACCACGATGTACTCAGATGTAGGAATGATGCGACTTAATGAGTTGAGGAATTCCGTTTTCCCACTGTGCTCGGCCGGGACGTAAATTGAAAAAAAGGTCCAACATTGACCATGCAGTTCCATTTTAACCCAACACCAATGACTTGCCGGGTCTGTCCCTGAATCCTTAATGAAATCTGCTAATTTTTTGTGCACTAGGATGCCAGTGCCCCCTCTCGTCTCTTGTGCTGGGGCCCAGATTTGAGGGCCCCTCCACCACGCCGGCATGGAAGATAACTTATCTTCACATAGCTTAGTTTCTTGCAGAAGCATGATGGAGATGCGGTGTGAGTGGATCCAACTCTTTAGCCTTGCGGTGTGAGTGGATCCAACTCTCTACTTAACGTCCACGGTAAAATTTTAGCTAAAACCCTAGCACTCCGTATAAAACCCTTGCTCCACAAATTGGTACAACCAGACCAATCTGGCTTTATACCGGGCAGACAAGTTCTAGATAATGTCATGACCATATCACAATCAATAGACTTGATCAATCAACATAAACTCAACAAAGCAGTCATCCTGATTGACTTTCAGAAAGCTTACGATCGAGTCAACTGGGACTTCGTCCAAGCAGTTATAGAAAGAATCGGGGTTGGCCCCAAATATAGATCCTTCGTGAAAGCCCTGTATGGTGCTTCGTCAGGTAGGGTATTGGTGAATGGCTTCCCCTCAACTCCATTTAAGGTCACGATGTCCCTACGTCAAGGCTGTCCCTTGGCCCTTCGCTGTTTGTCATCCAACTTGAAGTTTTTCTGAACATTGTAAGACAGCATCCGGATTACGAAGGTTTGCAAATCTCCCCTTACCATTCTATTAAAGTTTCAGCTCTAGCGGACGATTTCTCCGCTATCTCAGAGAATTCAGTCTCTTCTCTGTCAGCCTTAGAACAATGTATCTCCACATATGAACTGGCCTCCGAGATGAGGGTCAGTTGGCAAAAATCCGTGGCTCTTATACCTAATGATGAACCATTAGCTCAAGATCTGGGCATTACGGTAAAACCCCGAGCAGCAGTAGAAAGGTACTTGGGTATCCAAGTCTCTTTCGGGGATTCAACGGCCATCCAAAGCTCTATAATGGAAAATAGAACAAGAGATACATGTGCCAGCTGGTCCAAATCACGTTGCCTGTCGATTTTTGGTAGAGCAATGGTTATAAATGCATTTATTTCTTCCAAATTATGGTATATTCTATCTATCTGTGCACTCCCCCCAAACTCCGCCTCCAATATCAGACGCCTTCTCACTCGTTTCACATGGAAGGGAGATTCGGAAGTTCAATCAGTCCTATCCAAAATCAGTTGGCAAAAAATATCAGAAAAAAAGAAGGTAGGTGGCCTGGGGATCCTGGACCCAGAATCTCAGAATAGGGCACTGCTGGCAAAATGGCCAGTTAGAGCCCTTACCTCAAAAGAAAACCAACCATGGATATTATTAGCTCAATTCTCCTTGGCACACCAATGGGAGTTGTCAGACCCCGAAGCGGTCTGAGACGCCCTGCTAATGAAGCCCTTCACAACCCGTCCCTCGACTAGGACATGGGAGGGGATTCTCATAGCGTGGGGAAAGATAATCCCCCAACGCTTAGAAGAACCCTCCACCCCCGAAGAGATTCTGAACTCATGCCTCTTCGAAAACACCTCCATATGTACCCAGGCAGGTCTCTCGTTCTCTGTGGCGAAAGGCAAGGGTAACTTCGGCAGGAAATGGATGCAACAAGGTATATGGCG